CCTACAGAAACCAATACCCGAAGATAACTTCTATGTGTTTATTGAATGCTATTCTAAAAATCTATATTTTCTGAGAATTTCGAATTAGACCCCTCAACATGTTGATTATAAGATCTTTTGCTAGTGTACATTTTCACTTTATGAGTGTTAAAAAGGGATAAAAAAGAAAAGTAAGGGGGACAATCGATTTGGATTGTACAGTATCATGAAACACTAGTATGAGTAGTTGTATTATTTTTCCTTGAAAACAACATAAGTCGTTTGTGTGTGTGTCGAGATAGTACAATGGAATTGGTATGCTATAAAATTCAACGAAAACCACCGTATATTAGATAAGTTAATTTGATATTGCACATGCTAGTACAGTATTAATAACTACATGACGTTTTAAGCACAAGTTATTACTCATAATCATATCTATCATGAATTGCGCTCGAAATACCATCCAGTTATTAATACTGTACCAATGTGTGTTGCGTCATCGATTTGAAATTCCCTAGAGCTGGGTTTGTCTATTGCCTTCATAGTTAACTCCAATTATTTTAATATTTTCTCAAAGATAATCAAGTTCGGCTTTTTTGGATTACTTGGCCATTAAACCCTCTAAGACAACCACTTTTAAACAGCAAGCTCTATTCTCCTCATTATTCTATCATTTATTACCTTTCAAAGCAATCATAATTACTATCTAACATCATTCGGAAAATACTTATAAACTAGATAGAATTAGATAACATACATCGTCCAACTTTGGAAATCCTCAGTATTACACACTAGCGAGTCCAGTTGGAATTGAATGTAAGGTTTTCGGGTCTTGGGACTAGAATATTACTATTCGGTTATGCCCAATGAAGTTGTGTGTGTGTGAACTATTGACGCGTTGACTAATTACAAAACCTTCCAACCACAATGCCATATCAAGTCATGATATCGTATGATTACTGGGGATAAACTGAGCTCGAATTGGCATGTAATCATTGATACTTTATGCATGTTTATATGTTATCTAATTTGTCAACTAGTATTTCAATGTATGTCTTGTATTAATAGGTTACTGGTACCTTAGAAATTGGAATCGAACAGTTAGGTGATGAATTAATGCCCGGATTAAATGTATTCTTTTCATACACAAACCTCAAGAACATATTACAATTCGGTTATCTCTAATACATACATTTGTTTATTTATACAATACGCAACTGGTGAGAAAAACAGTCGAATTACGCCTAGTGTTATCGAAGGCAATTCAATGTATGTTGTACAGGAGATGTATGTAACTCAAGTTGCTTAATGCCCAATAGCATCACTACAGGTTAAGATGAAGTGATTGGTATACAACTACTTATCTCAATTAATCAGTAGTATATTAGTTTTATGCAGTTATACTTGCTTTCTTGATGACTGAATAACTTCAGTCTCGAAAGGAAACTGTAGTGAAATTTCGCCTCTTCCAAGTGTGTAAATCGAGAATTTGATTTATGCGATTACAAGGTGGTCAAAATGACTGGCCAGAATTCAGATAATGTTAACTGATTCTTTTCTGTGAGCAGAGTCGAACAGGACTCCAAAACGAGTGAAACGGGCTGTCTGGGGTTTAAATCACTCCAATATGGCTGGTTAGCAAGCAATGTTGGCCACTGTAAGTGGTATACAACTACTACTCATCCCAGCCGATCAATCAGTAATATATGGTTTTATGAAGTGAATTTTAACTTTCAATACACCTCCATTTTAAGTTGAACTTATTGATAGAGATTACATAGTACAAAGTTGAAATTTAAGACTTTCTACTAAATGTTTCTTGATATAGTTAATTCACTCCCTCACTAAAGTTATTAAAACGAATATATGGCGGAAATAAAACACGTTTGAGAAATCCATTATTATCTTTAAATGAATGTTATCGTCTTTTTGATGATTTATTTTGCTTTGTACAAACATACACCATGTATTACAGAATAACATTTAGCTGTATCTTATGAGAGAGATCTTGTCATCAGTCATAGATAGATGACCTTGAAAACGTCTTTTGTTTTATTATTTGCTTATCTAACTTACCCGCATTATTCCACTTTTCTTTAGATGAATAACGCCAAAAAAGTGATAAGTTTTGTTTTTTTAGTTTAAAAAACGCCTCACTCACACCCGTTTATAATGATATGTGTATCTGTGTGTGTGTGTAAGCGTGTGAGTATTTCATTAACATTTATTAAATATGCCGAAATATGTTTCTGTTTCTATTTTAAACAAAAAAGACTTAACTAATTCACTAAATGAAATGCAATGTGATATGTTGTTCAATTTATCAATTATTCAAAAGTTTGTTGTTTTAAACTTAGAATTTGAACTTGTTGAAATTGTTAAACTGTATATTAATTCTGCAATAATCATAATAATAAGACGAAGAAGAAAGGAAAAACTACATAACATTTTGATTGAGGCATACACGTTAAAGGTTGTTGAGGTATTTAGAGCTTCAACCTTTGATCAATGGCACTGAAATATGCCTCCAGCTATTAAAGTTTTAACAAATAAATTCTATTGTCTCGCTATTGAAAAAGCACCAAGTTTAATAACATTAATGAATACATAGTTAGATTGGTTGGAGGATTTCATCATGAGCTGATATCAGCTAGAAAACCATTGGAAAACTTGGGAGTACCGGACAGTGAAGAGTCCCAAGATGGGACGAAACAACTGTCCAGTGCTCCAACCAATCAAATAAAATTCTTATAAAACCAATACTTGAGAATGCATAGTTAGTTAATCAAATAGTTAAGTAGTTTATGAAAGTTGTCTGTAAGATAAAGGCATCAAAATGATTCACATTTGTAATTTATCTGATAAATTTCATGAGTGTATTTCAGTGTACGCAACACTGATTAAAAAAAAAAACATAAATGACTATCGAATGCATCATTAGCACTTTATACGTTTATATCTGAAAATCATTTTTCGTAAAATTTGCTACAGAAATACTTTTGTTCAGTGCTCAGTGCGTCGGTGGCACAGCGGTTAAGACGCTCGCCGACCATGCACATGGTCCGGGGTTCGAGTCCCGCCGGTGCACACCTTTACCTCGCTAAGCCAGTAGTGCGACTGGTAAGGAGGAAAGGTTGGGCATGAGGCTAGGAACCCCACCCTGTAAAAAATCAGCGCTGCTACGGAATCTTCAAGCCTATAGCTTGGAGCCCTATATTCCACTGGGAACGTGAAGGAAAAAAAATGCTCAATGGAAATTGTTTGAATTCACTTGTACATATTTATTTTATAAACAGCGCGAAATTCAAATTATTAATAAAAATGATTATTAATGTATCTTTCTGTAAACATGAAGAGTAAATAGCTGTTTTATCTAACACATAAAAGTTGAGAAAAGTGGAAGTTTTATTGTCAGACACTAATAGATGAATCATATGCTACTTATACCCATTTTATATTTTCAGTTATATGGGTTCTTCATACCATACGAATTCCTTGTCTTCCCCCCTCACACATATTTATCAATCTATCTATCCTTAGCATGTTTTTTTTTTCAGATTGACAATCATATTTAACAATCACTAGGTGGAAAAAATGTCATTTAAAGGTGATTTGAAAAAAACTACCATTCGAATTTCAGTGTAGATTCCATCATGAACCCCGACATCTTTTAAAAAATTATACGGCGGTCTATTTAAATCACTGGGCTACCTAAATTTCCATCCAGTATAAACAATAAGCTATTCTATAGTTGTTTTTTTTTTACTATTTTTACCATCTAACTGTGTTTTTGGATCACTACATAAACCCACTTCTTAAAGGAAATGAGGAGAAATATCGTAAAGGATGCCGTTTAACTTCACTTGGAATAAGAACACAGCGTCACACAATATACTATCGAATACTATTTTACTTAATGACCCTGTGTACAAAGAGGGGATATTTCGCAATTTGAAGATTCTATACTATGAGTGTTAACATATTATTTAGAATAGGGCTATTATTAAATTATTATTATTATTCAGAAAACCCAGGAGCCAATAAACAGCCGTCTCAGCTTGATTTGGAACCTTTTAGTAGTGCTCATCAAGGAAATTTCAAAGATCACTGATAACCTTGACTTCCAATAATTATCTAAATGATGACGAAATCTATATTGAATTTTGTACAGTTATCACATTATCATTACACTTATGGAGATTGCGATTGCTCTCACAGAAGATTAGATAAAGCTTTGTGTGAGATGAGTATTACGAAATTTTACCTTCTGATATGTATAATCATAAATACTAAATCCATTTGAATAGCATACACTTTTTCGATTAAGGTCAATAATAATGAATTTTCAAGTAGTGGTTTTGTAGGGATTTTTGTTTGATTGCATGGAGGATTTCATCATGAGCTGACATCAGTTAGAGAACCATTGGAAAACCAGTCAGGAGTACTGGACAGCTGTTTCGTCCTAGTTTGAGACTCTTCAGCAGCTCATGATGAAATCCTCCACGCAATCAAACAGAAATCCCTACAAAACCAATACTTGAAAATTCATCTGATGCTCACTAGCAACTGGCCCTATTCAGGCGGTGACCTGGGGTTCTAGTGGGAAGCAGTGACCAGTAGGGTACAGAAGGTTGAAGATGAGGCAGTAACTCATCGAGGAAGACATTGCAGAGTGGTCACGCTATGTTGTGAATCGACAGAAGTTAGAATTCCTGGACTGGCCATTGGATCGAGTTCCAGTGGCTCAATTGTCTATGAGCTTGCCTTGTATCAGAAGGTCCCGGATTTGAACCGTAGTGGTGGGCGCGTACTGCTGAAGAGTCCCAAACTAGGACGAAACAGCTGTCCAGTACTCCCAGCTGGTTTTCCAATGGTTCTCTAACTGATGTCAGCTCATAATGAAGCCTAGATACATAACTTTATACCAACTATATAAAATCAAAATTTCAGTACGTGTGTGTGTGTTTAATGCAAAATTAATTGATAAGAATGAAAACTGTGATATGTATTTTACTTACCCTCAATACGAAATGCTGTCTGAATATGCATTGGATAAGTGTCATTTTCTGATTGATCAGGTGATTGTGGTATTAGATCAGACCAACTTAAATCAGGTTTTTCTCTTATGTTTTCGTTATTCGACTGAAATTCATAAGATTTTACTGGTTGGGAATTTTGTGGTTCTACGGTTACATCTGATGACAGATTATTCACAGTAGGTAAAGGTGCCATTTTGATGTTGTAACAAATTAAATAATTTCACTTTGCTGTAAATGTTATTTTTGTCAAAGATCCAAGTGAATCAGCATATATATATGTATATATGTATTTATATAAAGTGTAGCGAAATTAGTACATTTCATCAACAACTGAGTTGAAGTTGACTTATTTACAATGTGGAGGGTTAAACTAAATAGAATAATCACAAAATTTGCTACACTAATATGTTGGTCTTGAGATGGTAAGATAGACAGCCAGAAGTGATGGAAAGACAGACACACACACGCATATATATATATATACACCAAATTACCTGACATGTGAAAATAAATATGAGCCATTTTCTCACCCCATAATAAAATTATATTTGAATAAACCGACCTGTCTGTACAACGAAAAGCATAACGGCCACGTGTGTCAGGTATATTGGATCACTTTAGTTGTTTCAACTAAGTGGACTTGGTGAAACAAGGCGCCGCATAAAAAAACAACACACACACACAACTCCGCTAGCATATATTTGAAAAATATGTCTTTATTGTTTGTTAAGCCGCGACTAAAACATTCTCCACTTTGAAGTTTATTTATAACACCTAGGGATGCATAGAGTTCTGCATTAGTTAATGGTTTTTGGAATCAATAATCCTTTTAGTGTGTCTTATAGTCACTCAAATAACAAAACATCAATAAAATAGTTAGCTAACATATTTTTCAGTATAAGTCAGTAACACCTACTGTACCAAATATCGAGCGCTTTTTTTTCATATTTTCAAGTATTGGTTTTCTAACGATTCAGTTTGATTGGTTGGAGGATTTCATCATCATCATCATCATCAGTTGACATCAGAATCATTGGAGAACCTAGGGGTACTGGACAACTATTTTGTCCTAGTTTTGGACCCTTCATCAGTACGCACATATCGGGGTTCGAATCCAAGTCCTTCTGGTTACAAGGCGAGCCATCTCATAGACCATTAAGCCACTCGGACCCGATCTAATGGCTCGTGAATTCTATCTTCATATTTCACAAGACTGTATATTTATAATGCGTCTTTGGAGGAACTAGTGAAGATCAGGGAGCACTGAACAAGTGTTTCCTGCTAGTTTGGGAGTGTTCAGCAATGCATACAACTAACCCATCAGGGATTAGACTCAAGTCATTCAAGTTACGGTTGAACTTGCTGACAATTTTCAAGGTTCTTTATTCAACACTGTCTTCACTACAAATTCTTCGGACACGTATTGAGAGAGAAAGGATTAAATTCCTTTTTTCTGTCCATGAGAATAAAACTGTAGAAAATAGTAGTCAGTTATTGCATCCATGTCGGTTTTCTGTAAATCGATCTTTTTAACGACTCATCATCGGCTCTCCTTGTAGTAGTAGTAATAGTATTTTAACATTAAGGAAAGACATTTTCCTAATGTAAACCGAATATTAGAATAACTGACATCGAATACTTTTAAAGTGTCCTCCACATCATAGTTCCCATCCTTTTTAATAAAAGAATTTACAGACAGAGAGACTCAGTTGCTATGGTTTCACCATTAATTCCTTTGCTAGCAAACTTCTTTTTGTCTAGTGTACAGAACAGTACTCTTGTAGCTGCTATCAAGAGACTGAATTTTTACAGAAGATACGTGGATAACACGTTGATAATATTTGATGAGAACTGTGATTGAGAAGACACTTTGAATATATTCCATAGCGGTCATTTCGTTATATGGTTGACATTAGAAAGAGGAACAAATCATACTTGACACTAACCCTTGATTAGATGTATTTAAATTTTATTCTAATGCTCATCTTTCAGTTTCATCCACTTATAGTCAATCACCTTTCCATCTAGGCAAAGTTAAAGAATAACGATCCATGAGTGGGAACGCGTCAGTGACCTTGAACGCACACCATTCGTTGGATAAAGTGAACTATCATTGCTATAGCACCATAAGGAACACTGTGCACTAATCGACGTGCACATTTTATTCCGGTCTCGTTTTTAAGTACTGATTAGGTAATCGGTTGATAACTCGTTAGGATTAAGATTACGATTGGAGTGCTTTGTTCTCATTATCTGTGTTTTCCCGGTAAATCGTTTAAAGGTGTTCACAATTGTGGAAAAAACATTCGTTATTCTGATTGGTCGCTTCAAGGGCAATTGCACCTTGGCATTCCTTGGATAGTGCATCGGTGGCACAGCGGTTAGGACAGTCGCCGACCATGCACATGGTCTGGGGTTTGATCCCCGGCCGACGCATTCCTTTACCTCAGTAAGCCAGTAATAAAGCTGGTAAATAGGAAAGGTTGGGCGTGAGGCTAGCAAACCCATTCTGTAAAATTAAACACCACTGCTACAGAAACTTCAAGCCTCTAGCTTGAAGCCCTATATTCCACTGGGAACGTGAAGGAATAAAAAATATTAAAAAATTCCTTGGATATCTATCCCTTAACTTTGCCTCCTTCCGATTTCTGTAATTCACATCTCTATGCTCAACTGTCAGAAATGCAGAACCTAAAAATGAGATCAATTGGTGAACCTCCACTCAGAGTTACTTATTAGGTGTGCTGTTTTTTTTAAAAAAAAACCGTTTTTCTAAATATTCTTTAAATCATTTAAGTGGGGTTTGTTTTTTTCTTCTAACTGATAAAGATTTCAATATGACTCATAGTGTTAAAAACTATTTTGCCGATTTCATAATATCTATTCACCTGTTTTTACACTATAATGTACGATTTATTAATGGCGCTTTTACACATATATACATATTATATGCTGGATGGGCTTTTAAAATTTACTACAATATGCGTTGAGACGCCAGTATCTTGTATCTTGCTGTTAAAACAAAGATTTACAAAGTTAAATTAGTTTCTTTTTCACATGATGAATAATGCATTTAAATAAAAGAAGGTTTATGTTTTTGAAATAGACCAAATCAGTTTTGTGTGAAATTCATTTAAGAGATTATATTTGTATATATGTGAATATTGAATCATTTAGTCTCTCTCTAAGAGTGTTTCTTTATTGACAATTGAACTTTTTGGAATTTACCGCTTGATTTAAAAGTGACGACTTCGTATTTTGGGATGAGAATAAAAGTAAACGCGCACAGCATAGCAAATGCCACAATATATATTACAGCTGTTTAAAAAAATCCATAAAATACCTAAACGTAGAAACTCATATATAATAACATCATGTCTTTAAATATTATTATTATATCCTTTAATTCCGAGAGGAACATAGGGCTTCAGCCGCGCGTCTCCATTGCCTTCGGTTCTCTGCCAACGTTTTAACCCCGCTCCAAGTCTGCCCTGACGCTTTTATCTCCTCTTTACATGACATCCTCCAAGTCACCCTTGCATTGACGACCAACTCACCGATTCCCTTTCGGGTTCCACTCGAGCAATGGCTTGTCTAGTGATGTTACTTGATGGTTTCCTCAGAGTATGGCCAATCCATCTCCATTTCTTCCTGCCTATTTGTTTCACAATCGGTTCCTGGTTGGTTCGCTCATTGCAAGAGACTCCTACTGCTTATCTTTTCTGGCCACCTGATCTTGAGTATTGAGCGAAGACAAATGTTAATGAAGGTCTGTAATTTGTTCGAAGTGCTCTTCATGACACGTCAAGTCTCTGATCCGCATAAAAAGTAGCACTGACTTCACATTGGAGTTGAAAATCCGGATCTTCGTTTTGATGCTGAGTGCTGTTGACCACCACACAGACTTCAGAGTAATGAAAGCTTGCCTTGCTTTCCCGATCCTCGCCTAGATATCCTTGTTAGTTCCGTCCGCCTGCAGTTGAAATGATGCTTCCCAAGTATGTAGGTGTAGGAGGTTGCTTCTTTCAGATTCCTCCCATTTACGCTGATTGTTGTCTGTTGCTGTTGCTGTTGCTGTTGGCCAGGAATCTTCATCACCTCTGTTTTCTCTATGTCCACTTGAAATCCTTTCTTTTCTACTGCCAAGTTGTTGCTTTTCACCTGCATATATTCCAGTTTGTGGGAAATCAGACATATGTCATCGGGGAAATACAGAACCTCCAAGTATTTATTATGGGTCCATTTCATGCCTGTCTCCTCGTTGCCCACTAACGGTCTGTCGCATTATTCAGTCTACTGCAGTCAGGAAAATCATTGGCGATAGTAGGCAGTCTTGTCTTACCCCCGTCCTCACTTCGAAGGATTCCGTGAGTTCCTCGTTGTGGCATGTCGCATTGTCGTACAACTGTTGGATGAGATGTATAATTGTCGGCGTCACCCCGTAGTAGCGAAGTAGTTGCCAAATCACCTCTCGATCGATGCTGTTGAAGGCCTTTTCAAAGTCGATGAACTTGAGATATAGATGTGATTGCCATTCTAAGCTTTGTTCATGTCTTTAAATAGGTAATATGAAATAATATAAAACCAAATACCTAAAAGCCTCTGTCCTATTGATTCAAGTAGGTTAAAACTGAAAGGAAGTAAATTTGTTTTAGTGATAACTTATATATACTCACTGGTACTTTCTTTCGAAAGTGGAAGTGAGTGGTTGGTCTCTTAGTTATAATTATATTATTTAAGTCAGTTCTTATTTTCCCAGTAACTGATTAGACCAAAATGTTGGGCCTCTGTTAATATGTCGGCTACTAGTATAGACGCTTCGATGATGTCTGAGAATTAACATGAAGTAATCTACAGGGTGGTGATTCCATCCAGATGATGAGTCCCGACAAAGACTAAATGAGCCTCCTGGATTCGACTGGTAGTTACTATCCACCAAATTACTGAATGACATTATTATTTACACAGGCTATTGCTCAATCGATTACGTGATGAACTGACATTCACACACACACATATATACGCGCTTATTTTTTCTTCAGATATTCTTTCTCTTATAAACCTATCGACTCTTAGACTGAATTGGAAAATTCTAACTGAAACGAACTGTGAATGCATGTGCAGGTTTAGAACTTTGAGGAACTGAACTATAGTAGCTCTTATGTCTTTAAACAGCGGTATCTAGTACTTAATGGAACAGTTATGTGACATGGCTCTGTAACGCTTAACCGTAGAAACTTTGAGTTTGTTTTAATTTCTGAGCTGATATACAAAAAAACATTCTTTTAATTACATATAGAAGATTTACACTGACAAAAATTAATCTTTAGTCCACTGTAACTTAGTGAATAGTTTTCGAGTACGATTCCCAAAAATCTTCCGCACCCAGCATGAGGAACAAAATTCGCGTTTTCAACAACAATGTCAAGTCGGTTCCTCTATACTGGTCAGGAACTTGCACTGCATGTCACGAAAAGGATTTCCAACAGCTTGTTGCAGACCTTCATCAAT